GCGCCTCCACAGGCCCCTGCTCCACCAACTGCTTCACGGCAGCTGCCGGCAGGGAGCAGAGCTGGCGGGCCTCCAGCTGGCCGTGCGTGTTGGTGGGTGGCACGGGGCACGGTGGGCCTGGCCGTGCATATGTACCCCCGGCCCTGGCTTGTGTGGAGCAGAAGCAGCGATTTTATGCATCTGGTTTTCTCCCCAGGCCTGCGAGGGGGGTGGTCCTCTCTCGGTTTATACGGTGGAGCCTAAAGCTGGTCGGTCCAGAGTCACCCAGCCATCAGGGCGGGTCCCAGGCCTGAGCAGACCCACTGTCTTCTCCCCGCTGCGAGCCCGGGCGAGCAGCTCAGCACAGGACGCCTGCCCTCCACCGGCCTCTCTCCCTGCACCTTTATTGTGGTGCCGTGTGCACGGGGCCTGCTACCGCGTCACTTCAAGTGCAGCCAGGGCACGACCTGCATGTGCCTGTCCCAGGGCCACCACCACTGCCGTCTCCAGACTCTTTCCTCCTGCAAAGCCAGAGCCCTCCCCACTGAGCTCTAAGTGGTCCCCCAAGCTCTCTCCCAGAGTTGGGCTGCTCCAGGTTCCCCGTGAGCAGGTGCACACGGCACCTGTCCCTTGTGTCTGGAGGTCACTTGGTGCCATGGCTTCCAGTGAGCCTCCTGGCGGCAGGTGTCGGGATTTCATTGGGGGCTGACTGGTGTTCCCCTGCCTGTCCAGACCTCCCTCTGTCTGTCCCTGCTTCAGGTGACAGACACAGCTGTTGAATAGGTCTGCTGTGAACGTGGGTGACCGCCCCCCAAGACTCGCGCTGACGTTCCTTCCTGTCGTGGGATTCCCAGGGGGCGACCAGGTGGGACCTCTGAGAGGTGATAGGTCACGGACCCAGCCCTCTGTGGGTTCACGGGGTGCCAGGTCATGGGTGAACAGTCATCTCTAGAGTGGGTCTCCTCAAGTTTGTTTGGCTGATTCTTGGGCACACCCTGTGGCCATGGATGCTGGGCTGCCTTTGGATTCACCAGAGTCCCACCAGCGAGGTCCCCTGGACCGTGGACCTCGTGGCCAGCCTGTGTTCTCATCCATTCTGGGCAGTCACAGAGCGGAAGAAGCACCAAGACGGGGCATCTTCAAGACCCTGTTCCTTCTGGCACAGACCCGGAAGGGGGCTGCTGGTCAAGTTGGTGGGCTGCCGGCTGTTCCTGGGCCACACTGCCCTGCTCCCCCGGCAATGCCCGCGGGGTCCAGGCACGGCTTTCTTCTCAGAAGAGCACTGGAAAGGGAGCGGAGCGTGCGGGGCCCAGGTTTGGGATGCGCTGAGAGAGCTCCGGGACTCCAGGAGGTCTGACGGCACAGAGCAGGGGAGCGGGGCTCTGTCCCGGGTGGACAACCGTGGGCTGATGTCGTGAGAGGGCGCGGGCACTGGCTGGCCGTGCCCGGCACCCATTGTCCCTGGTGCTGCTGCTGCGTGGCCCCGAGCCTGTCCCTCGGCTGGTGTGGGCCCGGCAGCCAGCCTCACCACCTGCCTCCCTCCCTGTGGACGCAGCTCTGTTGAGATTCGCGGTGTGAGGGGACACACGTCTCACTCCCGGGTGCCGAGGCCATGCTCTGAGGCCCCGACCCCGTCTCTCCTGGGGCCTCAGACCTCTTCCCCATGCGAGGGCCGGGTGTGCGGGTGAGGGTGGGTTAGCAGGTGGCTCCCGGAACCAGGCAGCTGCCTGGGACAGGCTCCTCACTCCAGGCTGGGCAAGTCTGACCCGGGACCTGACGTCCGTCCCTGGGGCTGGGGCTGAGGCTGTTGGTGTACCTGGAGGGCGAGGCGCGGGTCAGTGTGTCCTTTGGTCTGCTGAGCAGGTGCTCCTCCTTTAAAGAGAAAGAAAAATGGGGCCACAGCATCAGCTCTGAATTCCTGAGCCAGGCAGGCGCAAAGCCCTCCGGATCCTGTTACTCACCAGTCTGCTCATTTAGTTTAGGGTTCAAACAGCTCTGCAGAATGTACAAAGGCCCAGGGGTCACCATGAAGGTTTGTATGTTGTTATTCTCTCCACATGATATGGGCATGGTGGGGCCTGTGGCTGGACCTCTCAGCAGAGTGGGATGGAGCTTGGGGACCAGGCATGTGTGTGGGGCGTGAATTTGCACTGACTGCTGGAGAGGACAGCATTTCTTAGAGTCAGGTCATACCCTCACTGTACTGTTTGCTCTTCATTTCACCATTTTAACAAATCCCAATGTCCTTGGTTCTGCCCCAGAGATGGCACTTCTTGATTGCTGGGGCGGGGGTGGAAAACCGTGCGCTCTCACCACGGGCAGAAACCCAGAGCCAAGGGCCTAGGTTGGCAAGACAGGTCTGGGCAGCCTCCTGCTGAGGGCCCGGGGTCGGCTGAGGCCTGGAGGTCCACACTGGGTGTCCTGCTCCTGTGTGCACAGGCACCGCCTGCTCCTTGGACACTTCACATACCACCTACAGCATCTTCCAGGGGAAATTACCTACGTGCAGGAAAGGGGGAAATACAGAGGGGCCAGGGGGAAGGAGCGGGCCTGTTCCCCCGATTGCCAGGTGACTGATTCCCCACTAAGTTCTCAGGCAGAGTGTGTCTGGAGCCTCGCCCTGTGCCCGGCCCCTCCCCCTGGGCACCCGTCCCTGCACATGCAGCTGACCTTCTGCAGAGATCTCCTTTCCTTCCAACCATCGATTCTTCAATGGCAGTTAGTGATGGTGTAAGGAAGCGGCCAGCTCCGAGTTCAGCACTATTCATTACTCCTAAGGGGCCGCCGGGGACAGACCCAGCACTGCCCCTCGCCTGGCATCCCGCAGACTTCCGCCCCGGCCAGGCCCTCCGTCCCCGCCCGCCCTGTGCCTGGTGCTCGCCTGCCCCCTGCGTCCTCCTGCAGGCTCATCCGCTCGCTCTCTGCAGAGCACGTCTCCCCCTTCGTCAGCCCAGATCCTACCCGGGCTTCCCGGACACCTTTCAAATATCACGCCAAATGCCAGCGAGCAGGCTGATCTTGGAGAACATAGATCAGAACACGTCATTCTGTCCTGGAGAACTCTAATGGATCCCGATGCCCTTTCAGTGTGCCCGGGACCCGCCTGCCCGACCTGGGCCCACCGCCTCCTCAGAGCTTCACTGTCCTCAGGATGCTCAGGGACAGGGCATGCTGTGGCTGTGCAGGCTGACTCTGCCTCCACACCTTGTCCCCGTTGAGCATCAGAGAGTCAAGGGAGAACTCTGTGAGCCGTGGTCAAAGAGTGGCCTCCAAAGGTGCCCACATCCCATCCCCCAGAGCCTGGGGACAGGTGGTGTCCCTGGGGCTTAGCAGAGGGACGGGGGATTAGCATTTGAGGTGGGCAGAGTGTCCCGGCTGATGGGGCCCGGCGTGTCCCCTGTGTGCTGAGGAGTGGAAGAGGGAGGCAGAGGCTGGTCAGAGGGAGGGTGGAGAAGGACCTCTCACCTCGCCGCTCTGCAGGAGGTAGGGCCCCGGCCAGGCTCTCAGTGAGGATGCCGCAGGCCTGCAGCCACGACAGTGGATTCTGCCAAGGAACGGCCCTGGCCCCGCGGTTCTCACCCGGGTGATCCTGGAACCCTTCTGCTGCCCTGTGACGCTTGGGTGGACCACCAGCTGCATCTGTGGGGACTTGTTCTGGTAGCAGCTGGACACGGGTGTGGCCCTGTCACCACGTGGTTTTCTGAGGTGAGGTTCCTCCCGACGCAGGTGGAGCCTGGGGACCTGCGCAGTGAACTGACCATAGAGGCCCACGGCAGAGGCCCTGGAGCCTGCGCCACGGAGCAGCCACGGCCGGGGGCAGGTGCGGGGGCACAGGTGCAGCTGCCAAGGAGCAGGGCTCGGCGCGGTGCCCAGTCGCAGGGTGGCGGGTTGGTTTCCTGTGTTTCCTCGTGCCCCTCCCTCTAGGACACGGACCCCAGGCCCCTCAGCCTTGTCACTGGCAGTCCCCTGGGGCCAGGTCAGCAGCCACACAGCATAAACATACGCAGGGGTGGAGAAGGGAGGGACCCTCATAAGATACATCACCACCAGGAAGTGGTTTGTCGGACTTTTTAGTGACATCCCAAATAAGCAGGTTCATGAATGAGAAATCCTTTTGGTGGAATCATCTTCAGTCCTCCTTTGTCCTTGGGTCACTTGGCAGGTTGCCCTGGGGGGGGGGCGCACCTACAGGAGGGGATGCAGGGAGGGCTGTCTCTTGGTGACCTTAGCTCCTCTGCGTTCTTCATTTTCTCTGCGGGGGCCAGTGATTGCTGACCCTGGGACGTGGTGGGGCTGCTCTCATGCCTTTGCCGTGCTAAAGGGCTTCTGCCGCCCGTGACCTTGGCCGCGGCCTGCTGCTGCAGTGCTCCTGTCAGCCGTCAGAGCTGCCCTGCCGCCCACCCAGCAGCCCGGCCAGCTAAGGGCCCGCTGCGGGGTCCATTCGAGGCAGCCCAGGGGGTAATTTCAGGGACAGAGTCAGGTCTGGCGTGCGATGGCCTCTGTGGATTACGAGGAGCAGATGGCTTGGCGTGGGAGAGACGAGCAGCGCTATTTCTTCCTGGGAGAGGCGCCTGTCAGGTGAACCCCAGCAAATCAAAATCCAATTCTGCAGGGGAGGACTTTGCCTTCCAGAGATGAAATTGCCAAAGCGGAGAAATGGCGCACACTCTGCGGAGAGCCTGATAGAACTCCCGCAGAGCGTGTGGCCCTGAGCTCTGCATCAGTGTGACAAGTGGCCACAGCGGGCGTGGCAGCACGGCCAGCCCCAGGTGTCCCTGTTACCAGCAGGTCTTTGGCCCTGCTGGAGATGGACAGAAGCTGACCGTGGACTGTTCCGCCGTGGCCTCTGGTTTTCCTCCTGCACGGGTCCCTGAGTCTGGACAGAGCAGC